CAACACGACACAACACAACACACAATAACACAACACGACACAACACAACACACAATAACACAACACGACACAACACAACACACAATAACACAACACGACACAACACACACAAACAACATACCATGAAACAATACAACACACATAAAACACCACGAAATAACACAACACAACATAATACAGCACAACACAACACACACAAAACAACACAACACGTCAGCCCTGCACAACACAACACTCACAACACAACACACACAACACAACAAAACACGTCAGAGCTGCACACAGTTCCCTCACCCTAATGGTCAGTGTAAACAGCTGAGGGAAGGAGCCACAGCGGAAGTAGGTGGAGCCCGGGAAGCCCAGCCCCGCCCCACACTGCAGGGTGTCCGCCTCAATCTCCGCAACCACTTTCTCGTACGGGATCAAAACTGGGGGAGAGACATATAGGGTAGTTGTCATTTACTGCTAGTCAGCATGATGGCCCACCACTTTGTCGTACAGGATCAAAACTGGGGGAGATACATATTGGGTAGTTGTCATTTACTGCTAGTCAGCATGATGGCCCACCACTTTGTCGTACGGGATCAAAACTGGGGGAGAGACATAATATGTGAGGCATCATGGCGAATTCAAACGCTCGCCAAAAAAATGAAATTGATGAAAAAATGGCATTTTTTTCTGCCATTCTGCAACTTTTTTTCTTCTAACTTTTGTATATTTGGTTAAGCACCTTTTCTACCTATTCAAAAACACATTTCTGTGTTAATTTTACCGAAAAACATTGATTAAAGGAACAAACAAATGTAAATTTTCATTTACAAAGGGCTCTCAAGCTAAAGATAGAAGGTACCAAATTTTGGCGGGAAACTTTCTCGATAATTGTACCTCTGAAACCAGCAGACCCCCACCTCCTTCAATCACATGCATCTTGACTTCTAGTTAAAATGGATTTTAAAAATTTTCATCGAAAGCAAGACAAAATCAATAAGGATAGGCTTCAGCCACCACCCGAGCTAAATTCAAAATTAATTCCGACCAAACTGAAAATGTTTTATGTGTCCCGTGTGGAACAAAAAACACAACGCATCTTATTAGAACCGGATCCATAAATAAAGTAAAGTAAAGTAAAGTACAGTAAAGTAAAGTAAAGTAAAGTAAAGTAAAGAAAAATCAGTTAATCAGGACAAGTCAAGTCAAGTCACAAAACGTCAAGTCAAGCTGACTCAAGTAAAATCAACTCAATTCAAGTCAACTCAAGTCACGCCGCCACGCCACGTCACATGCAACACCCGACCAGAAACATCAGCAGACAAGAGCCACTCACCCCCGTCGTCTCCCAGTATCGCCGACTCAGGCAACATGTCGCAGTACAGGGGCAGGTAATCCTTCAGGTGCTCCGGCACCGCACACGTGTCCAACAGAACGTTCAGCTGGGGGGAAAAGTTTTTAGTAGAGGTTTTACGGCGCTCACAACTGCATAAGGTCACGTGAACGCCAATGGGTGGATGTCAACAAGGAAGTCCTTACAGGGAATCAGACTTACTCTGCTCACCTCTCTAGCTTCAACAGCACAAAGTCTGCTTCGACTATCAAGGCACCCCGGAAATAGCAGGTCACAAGAGTGTGACAAACATACAAGAGAAGTAGAGGAAAATGACAATAGTAAGGATCAGGAAAGAAAAAGCAGCAGTTCCCTGTTGTAGATCAGGCACAGTTATGAGCGTGACATTGATGAATCGGCCCATTTACAATTCTACTGTGCATGAACGAGAAAGGTCCCCCCTTTGGGAATGGCCTAAAGACACTTCAGTCAGTGGCATTGCCCTGGGGGGTAGTAGAGGTTTTACAGCGCTCACAACTGCATAAAGTCATATGAGCGCCAGAAGATTAGAGGTGCTACAAGAGAGTAACAAACAAAAAAGAAGAAGGGGAGATAAGGACGATAGATGTTTGATAGGAAAGAAGAAGCAAACTACACCAAAGCACCCGCCAACCACCCACGAGGAAAAAGACGAGGGCCAGAGTCAAACAATCTGAACTGTGGCATCGGTGGTCTAGTGGTTAGGCTACCAGACTTGTAATAATAATAAAGAAACAGCATTTCTGTATCGCGCAAATTCCGAATCAAGAGCAAGCTCTGAGCGTTTCACAATCTATATTGTAATTGTGAGGTTCCATCGTTGGTGAGTGAAAAAAAATGAGTACCTCGACAAAGTTGGAGCTGATGTCGTCGAGCATGAAGCGAAAGGGGAGGCCAGACAGCAGGAAGTCAGGGTTGCATATAAAATGTATGTGTTTTTACATCCTCATCCCACCTCCCCCCCCCCCCCAAACAAAAAAAATGGCACAATTTAGATCATGGAAATACCTTAAATTTTGCAAACAAAGAGACAGTCACCGGACAAAACTACTATGGGGTTAAACAGAAAACAAATACTGAGAATAACAAGTATTTTTCTCGTGAAAATAACCGAAATAACAGAAAATACGGAGAGTTTAAAAAAAAGAACAACCCAAAAATCCACTGCATCTTTGCAATCCACGAAAAACCACACATGAGCGGGAAAAAAAAAGAGTACCTCGACAAAGTTGGTGCTGATGTCGTCGAGCATGAAGCGGAAGGGGAGGCCAGACAGCGGGAAGTCGGGGTTGCTGTCCTTGTTGCGCGTGGCGCTGGCTGGCACGTTGGTGCTGGGGCTGATGCTGTGTAGGTGGATGCCTGACACGCTCGGGGGGCGGATCTTTTCGTGGACTGACGGCGGGGCTGGACGCTGGGGGTGTGTGTGTGAATGTGTGCGGATGGGCGTGAATGGGTGTGAGTGTGTGGAGGGGCGTGTGTGTGTGCACTGTGTGTGTGTGGAGGGGGGGTGTGGGGGGGGGGGGGGGGGGGGGGGGAAAAACAGGGGGGGAAAAAATTTAAAACCCAACCTTTTTTTTTTGTCTTTCCAAAGGGGGAGGGGGGGGGAGGGGAACATAAAGTGAGCTAGAGAGAGAGAGAGAGAGAGAGAGAGAGAGAGAGTTTTCCCCCAAAACCCCCCCCCCCCCCTACAACAGCAACAATGACAAGAAGAACAACAGCAAAAACAGCAACAGCAATTATGACAACAATCACAAAAACCGAGAAGAAAAATACCACCATCACCAACAACAACAACAACAGCAATAACAACACCAGCAGCAACAACAATAACAACAACAGCAACAACAGCAGCAGCAGCAACAACAACAGAAACAACAACAACAACAACATTAACAATAAACTAACCGGCCTGTACTCACCGAGTTCATCACAAAACAACAACAGCAACAACAACAACAACATTAACAATAAAATAACCGGCCTGCACTCACCGAGTTCTCCTCCTCGGCCTTCTCCACCCTCATCTTACACTCCTTCATGCCATCCACCCCCAACTCCTCCTTCTGTCGCTCCAGGCGATCCTCCTCCTCTTTGCCCATGTCCACACCCAGATTCAGGCTGGGGATGCCGGTGACCTGGGAACACACATAGGTGGAATTGTTTCAGATGTTTGAATTTAATTTTAGTTTTTGTTTTAGTAAGAGTTTTACGGCACTTGCAACACAATAAGGTCTTATAAATGGCGAAGATTAGAGGTGTAACAAGAGAGTAATAGACACATACATACAAAAAAAAAGCAAAAAATAAATTTGATAAACAATACTGTCTTCCACAAACAACCAAAGCAACTCCCTTGAAACAGGGATTAGACGTTCTCTTTTATTTTTCTCACAAATGTGAAAAGCGTACCCGTGCTGCAACCCACCCCTCCCATAAAGCTATTGTCAGAATAAGCACAGATGATCAAGGGTGCTATACAAAAAAAGCTGTATTTCGATCAACTACGCAGAAATACAGTTGTAGCATACAGCAAAATGTCCAGAAATGAATGAACTTTTAGAAAATGTGCATTTTGTTGGGAAATTTATAAATCTTTTTTATGTTACGCAATCATAAACACGCCCATAATTTTTTCTTCACACAAAAGTTGGGGAAACGTAAAATCATGAATTCCCATCGGAAAACTTCGCATTTGCATATTATCGCATCCTTATACGCAATCACGCAGTGTGCGGCTCCGAGCAGATAAAGGGTTAACAACTGTAACTCCAGCGACAGGAGACTCACCACGACCCTCGGGGTGCCGATGAAGTATTTCTTCAACAGGTCGAGCCAGTAGTCGGTCGACTCCGACAGCATCCGGCCACAGAACTCCACCATGTTCAAACGACCGTACAGCTGAAGGAAGAAAAAACCCAAACATATTCCATATAGTCAGTATCCAACTCTTAACACTGTGCGATGCTATACAGTAACTCATTTTTTTTTGGTCTTAAATTATGTTTTAGTTTTAGTAAGTGTTTTATGACACTAGCAACACAATAAGGTCATATAACTGCAAAAAAGAAGGAGGAGAGATAAGGACGATAGATGTATGGTAGGTAAGAAGAAGCAAACCACACCAGAGCACCCCCCAACCACTCACTTACATTATGTTAATCACTACTATGATTATAATTGGTCAAACTAAATGGTGTGAAAAGAACAACCCAAAACCATTCTTCCTAATATTTTTAGCAATTGTCACAGAAAGTAAGAAAGAAATTACGGGGTATTTTGTCTTCAATTTTTATAACAATCAATATTCATACACATACACAGTTAAAGTCACACATTGACAATATGCACATCAGAAGCAAATTAGAATTGAAATAAAACATTTTCCACGCTCAAACTCGATGCAAGCTGGACTAAAAATTATTCATTTTTCACATTCAGATTAGATCTAGATGCAATTGCTATAAGGAAAAAACAACATTTTCCATGTCCAAACTGGATACATCTGGAGACAAAATTTTAATTTTCATATTTTAAAAAAAATGTTTGTGCAACTGCATATAAGATTGAATCATTACCTGAAAGATAAGAGATATTCAAGAGCTTGAAAAATCTTCACAGTAAAGAGCAATACCCAAAGCTCTATCAACGCGTCATGCAAGAGTAGATAACTATAGCCAGTAGCCATTGGTGGCGGGGAATGGGCACCGTGAACCCTACCGGAATTACACGGTCACAGGGCAGTTAGGTCTTTCCAGTCTCATGAAAACCCCTGTACCAGGTATCCTCAATGTGCATGGCCCCTTCTCAGGGTGGGCAGGCAGTCCACAGACACCCCAGTCCTCAACAACATCAACGAGCGAAGACTTCATTTGGTTATAAGTTAAACTAAGAAATACTGAGAGAATAGTGAACACTATAACAACAAAGCAATAATGCTGAAAATTGTACACAAACTGATTCTATCTCTGCGCTAAACTTACGTCTTGCTCACCGTCCCCATACAGGAAGTGTCCTATCACAAAGAAAGCGACGGAATCACACGGCATGTACTCCAACTGAAAAGAAATAAAATAATGAGGAAAACAAACATAGATTAGCTTGGAAATACGGTTGAAATTTTCGAAGATGGCCACCTATACACACACACACACACATATACACACACAGACACAGACAAGGCATATATATGTACATACATACACCAAGGTTCATACTGAGCAAGAGATATTTTTTTTCAAGACTTTTCCAAGAGTTTTAAAGACCAGATTTCTCTTTCCCAAGACAAATAACGCGTCATTTCGGAAGAACATTTTTCGTTCAGCGTGCACAAATACATTATGGAACATTCCAGAATGCGTAAAGTCGAGGCCTTCTAAACTTAGAGGAAATATTTTTACAATAGATCTAATCTAGATCTAGTATAAAATTTGTTTTTCCGAGAATTTAGCCAATTTCCCAAAATTCCAAGAGTATTCCATGTCTTGGAAAATAAAAACAAACTTCCAGGAGTTTTCCAGTTTTCCAAGACATGTAGGAACCTTGATACACACACAAGCACACACACACACACACACACACACACACACACACACACACACACACACATACATACAAAGCATATACGTACATACAAACACACACACAAAACTACACAAACAAACACACACTCACGCACACACACACACATAAACTCACACAAACACACACATTCAGAAACACTCACACTCACACACACACAGAGACAAACACTCACACATTCAGACACACACACAAACACACACATTCAGACAAACACTCACACTGCTGAGAGTATCTAGCTTTCTCCGGTGTATAATGGTCGACAGACGCTGCATATCAATCGCCTCCTCGCCGCTGGCTATTCTGGTCAGCACTTTCATGAATCTGAGGAAGGAGCCATTGGAAATATTATACACTAGCCAGCGCCAACTTTAGCCAACTTGAACTCTTTATCTCCGAGGGGGGGTAAACCCATATGCTGGGGCCCTTTTTTCAGTACAAAATCTAAAAATGGCGAAAACGTCATTAAACTGGTCATTCGATCAAAACAAGTGAACATATTTTAATAGTTCTTCAAGTAATGAATGATTTATACAAGTGACCATATTTTAATAGTTCTTCAAGTAATGAATGATTTATCCCGACAAAAGAGACCTGAAATTATTTGATGTCGAAGTCGGCGTAAAGGAATGTACCCGAGCCGTGGTCTGCGGCTCACTGGCAAAGCGGTTCTGACCATTATCCGCTGGGAGCGGCTAGCTGGAGATAAAGAATTAAGAGGTTGACAAATGACACAGTCTCATTATAATGAGATAAAAAATAATAAAGGCACGGGGAAAATGGAGAAGTGGCCATTTGTACAGATGGCTGTCTTATTTCTTGTACAGGTGGACGTTGAGAGCATCCAGAGAGAAAAGTTTCCTGGGTGGTTGGCGGGCGCTGTGGTGTGTGTGGTTTGCTCCTTCTTTCCTATCAAACATCTATCGTCCTCATCTCTCTTCCACCTTTTTTGTGTAGGTTACTCTCTTGTAACACATCTATTCTCTCCGGCACTTATATACATGACTTTATTGTGCTACAAGTGCCGTAAAACTCTTACTTAAACTAAAAACCAAAGAAAAGTCGGTGAAAAAAGCGGAATAACTCACTCATCCTCGATCTCCTTCAGCTTCTCCACGTCTGCGTTCTGGAAGGTGATGTACACCGTCATGGCAGAGTTCTCGATGATGTTGAAGTCCGCCTGTCACAAAACCCAGATTTTTTTGTTAGGATAACATTTCGTGATAGGGAAACTAACCACATTCGATAATTACACTATAGTTTGGGGGTTTTTTGTAGGGGGGGGTGTAGTTTAGAGGGCCTCCCCTTGCAGCACTAGCAGGTCACTTAAGTGCCGAAGAAGATTAGAGGTGTTACTAAGGAGTAACATACAAAAAACGAAAGAGGAGAGATGAGGATGATTGATGTTTGATAAAAGGGAAGCTAAACACATGACACATTCCATAATTACACTTTCGTTTTTAATTTTTTAGTAGATTAGAGTTTTACCTGCCCATGCAGCACTAGCAGGTCACTTAATTAGCGCCTTAAATTAGAGGTGTTACTAGGGAGTGTTAAGTGACAAAGATTAGAGAAGTTTCTAGGGAGTATCATACAAAGAAAAGGAGGAGGAGAGACCAAAGAGTTAGATGGACACATAAACAAACAACATAAGCGACGTACGGATCCGGCGAACGGCTCATCAATCTCCACCATGTCCCTCTGCACGGGTGAGATGGCCGATGTGTCCAGGTAGTCTGTGAGGATGCTCAGGCACAGGTGCTCGTACAGCGCCTGCCAGGTGGGAACACACACGGGAACACACGATAAATGGGAGTCATCACCGTGAAATCTGCCACTCGTCAAAGTAATGAAACAGAAATAATAAAGGCAGTTTTCTGCCCATTTGGCAATTTTTAAAAATGTAATTATTTTTGGCTTTAAAAAAAAAAGTTTTAGTAGAGGTTTTACGGTGCTCACAACTGCATAAGGTCATATGAGCGCCAAGGGTGGATGTCAATGCCCCCCCCCCCCCCCCTTTTGGGAATGGCCTCAAGACACTTCAGTCAGAAGCACTGCCCAGGGTGGGTAACAAGCACCTTATAACATAATCACTTTCGTTGCACCACACCACACTCGACAATGGTTGGCGGGAGCTCTGGTGTGGTTTGCTTCTTCTTTCCTATCAAACATCTATCGTCCTTATCTCCCCTTTTTCTTTTTTATGTTTGTTACTCTCATGTAACATCTCTAATCTTCTGGCGCTCATATGACCTTATACAGTTGCGAGCGCCGTAAAACCTCTACTAAAGCTAAAAAAACACAAGACCAGATATCCCGGCTCACCTTGGAGGGTGGTCCCCTGAAGCCGATGTGCACCATGCCGTACTCGTCGTCCTCCGAGGGGTAGTACACCGTCTGTCGCACCGTCTCTGTCAGTGGGGGCACCGCGTCCTGCCACGGCCGGGTGAACTCTGACCTGCAGCCCTGGGGGGAATAAATAAATATAAATAAATAAATGAATAAATAAATTACACTTTTATTGATCCCTGAAGGGCAATTTGGTTTACATTGGCAAACATACATATACATACATACATACATACATACATACATACATACATACATACATACATACATACAAACATACAAACATATATACATACATACAGACACACACACACACATACATACATACATTCATACATTCATAATTGTGAATACATACATACATACATACATATATACATTCATACATTCATAATTGTGAATACATACATACATACATACATACATACATTCATAATTGTGAATACATACATACATACATTCATAATTGTGAATACATACATACGTAAATACATGCACAAATACATACATAAATACAAATATTACACCAGTACAGAACAATTTACATCCATGCCATTGCCGGTCGCAACTGTGCAGACTCAAGTAATGTCAAGCAAGTGTCGGTGACACAGGGTTCAGATGGGTGGTCACTGGGGTGTGTCCTTGAGCAAGACACGACAATCCTAGCTCAAAATACAGGGCGTTGCACAGTGGCGACCGGCAATGGCATGGTTGTGTGTGTGTGTGTGTGTGTGTGTGTGTGTGTGTGTGTGTGTGTGTGTGTGTGTGAGTATGAGTGTGTGTGTGTGTGTGTGTGTGTGTGTGTGTGTGTGTGTGTGTGTGTGTGTGTGTGTGTGTGTGTGTGTGTGTGTGTGTGTGTGTGTGTGTGTGTGTGAGTGTGTGTTTGCCACTGTAAACCAAATTGCCCTTCTGGGGTCAATAAAAGTGGTATTTATTATTTATCATATATAATTTTCTTATCCACTCACCTTGGCTATGATTTTCTTATCCACCGGCTCAAGCACTCGGAAGACATCGTCGGGTTTGATGCTGCCTGAGATGATGATGCAGACGTTCTCGGGACGATAAAACTCCTTGTGGTATCTCTTCACCTGTATGGAGTTTAGTTTGAGTAAGGTTTTACGGCGCTCGCAACTGTATAAGCTGTATGAGTTTAGTTTAAGTAAGAGCTGCTTTTTAAAAAAGTTTTAGTAAGAGTTTTATGGCACTTGCAACACAATAAGGTCATACAAGTGCCAAAGATTAGAGGTGTTACAAGAGAGTGACAAACATAAAAAAGAAGGAGGAGAGATCAGGACGATAGACGTTTGATAGGAAAGAAGGAGCAAACCACACCAGTGCACCCGCCAACCACCCACTAAGAGTTGTACGGCACTTGAAACACAATATCGTACGTCATATAATACATTATAAGTCTTATATATCATACATGCATACGTGTCGAAGATAAGATGTGATCCTAGAGAGTATGGCGTCGGTGGCCATAGTGGTTAGGCTCTCGGACTCGCAACCATAAGGTCGTGGGTTCGAATCCCGTCAAGGGCCCGACGATGTGTCCTTGGGAAAGGCACTTTACACAAATTTTCCTCACTTCACCCAGGTGGGAATGGGTACCCGGCTATAGAAATGAAAGATCTTGTCCGTTTATTAGTGTTTGAGCGTTTAATCGGCTGCTTGCACAGTAGGCTTCCCGGGAAGCTGAGAATGTTTCTGAGTGTTCTCTGGTCTGCTGGGGTAATAATATAGTGTAAAGCACATAGAGCCAGCTGCTGAGTGGAGATATGCGCTATACAAATGCTATTTATTATTATTATTATTACAGTACCATACAAGGAAAAGAAGAAGGAGGCGAGATAAGGATGATGATATGAAAGATGGAGCAAATCACCCCACCAGAACACCTACCAACCACCCACATTCTTGAGCAATTTGAATGAACAGAAACATAACTGATGGTCATTTATTTCCCTCCCTCTGCTCCCCCACCATCTCCCTCCCTTTCCCTCTGCTCCCCCCTCTCCCTACCTCTGCTCTTCCTTTCCTCTCTATCCCTCTGCCCCCCCCCCCCCAATAGTAAAAAACACAAAAAAGGAGGAGAGATAAGGATGATAATATGTTTGATAGGAAAGAAGGAGCCAACCAATCCTCTCCATCCCTCTTCCCCCCCCCTCTCATTTGCTCACACACCTTGTCGTGGGAGGTGCTCTCCCGTAGGTTCTTCATGATGCCGCCGGTCTCGCTTTTGTAGCCACAGTGTCCCGGGTACATGGCGCGGAGAAAGGCCAGCTGTGTGCGGCTCTCTCCAGTATTCTCCCGTGCCTGCATCTCGCAGTACACGATCCCGCCGTCCTCCCCTGACCCATCCACGTGGTGCACCTCTGTGACGTAGCCAGACTCCTGAGGGGGGGGTGAGGGGGGGTGGGTGGGTGAAAGGGTGGCGAAGGCGGAGGGGTGGGGGAGGAAGAGGGGAGGGGTACAGAAGGAGAAAGGGAAGGGGATGGGAGGGAGGGGTAGGGAAGAGAGGTGGGGAAGGGGGAGGGGTGGTGTTGGTAGAGGGGATGGGGTGGGGAAAAGGGTGGAGAGGTGGGGAGGAAAGGAGAGGGGTAGGCATGGGGGAGGGGAAGGCAAAGTATTGTGTGTTGTAGAGTTTGCTGATGTGCATCCATTGGTTTAGTCTCATTCGTCTTCTTAAAAATGGTAACAGACTTAGACGAATTGAACATTTTGATTGAAGACAACGTTCTGGGCAAAATAAAACAGGGTTTTTTGCTGTATTTTGACATTGGAACCTTAGAATTACAAAGTTTTATCTGCCCAGTGCCTAGTTTTAAGAAATTTTATGTAAAAAAACGAGTTTCACAACATGTCAAGCTCTTTCGAAAGTAATTCTTTGAATATCTTGATAACGACTCTGAATAATTGTATGATTATTTTTGATCGAGTAGATCTAATAGAACCTTTGGTTTCTGACCGTATGGTCTTAGCAACTCAAAACGCCCAAAAATGTCAGCTCCAATTTTGTAATTCTAAAGCAGCAATATATGACCACGATGCCACGATTCTTACAGTGATGGTCGGGTACAAGATGTGATCCATGTAAATGGGCAACAATTTCAAGAAGCCCTCGGAGCCAGCGTTGGTCATGGTGTAGCACGTGTGGTCAGTCTCCGTCCAAGCGTTTGTGCCAGAGGCCAGGCACCGGTTGGCAAACTGATCCAAAATGCCCTGGTCAAACAGTCAACAATAAAGACATTACGTTTCCAAGTATAATAATAATAATAATAATAATAAAAGACATCTATATAGAGCTCAACCCCGATTAAAGTATAATGCTACACAAGCTCTGAACACTTGACCTCCCCTTAAGTATCAAGACATATTAATAAATAATTGACAATATTACATAATATTGAAAAAAAGAAAATCATATCGTTCTTACATTTATACCAACAACAGCACTCTGTTTTTTTTTCTTTAACACTTTGCCCCCACGGGACGCCGATCGGCGACAGTGACAGTGTGATATTATAATAGTATGTACCGCATCTGTATCCTGGTTCATGGGGATAAAAAAAGTGTAGCGCACTCTGCGTGCTGTGTCGGTGGACACTGCTAATGTTCTCAAAAGTTCATAAAAATGACTTTAGGCACTTGTGGAACAACACTGACGATTTACAAACAAGACATTTGAGAGGGACCCTAAAAACACATATAATGATAACAACAATATTAATTTAATATTTTTAATTGTAATAAAATACAATAATAATGTGATAATTAGTAAAATTATTTTACATAAATTAATTATAAAATCATTGTAATTATAACGAAAATAAATATTGTCATTAAAATTAATAATGGTGATACTAAAAATAATAGCATAAAATAGCACACATCCACACTCTACTGCATACACTGCATGGTCTCTATGCACCATTTTATAACTCTGGTACTGTGGTCTGAAGAGGTCACCTGTAGGGCCAACCACAAACGACAGACAGAAGAACAACCGACCTTGTAAGGAAAGTCCTCGCTCCCCAAGAAGACCAGGTGCTCCAGGGTGTGAGGAAGGCCGTCGTCATCATGGGCTTCAGTGGCTGGAACAAAAAAATAAATAAATAAAATAAAAAACCAAAAGAGCATCCACCAAATAAAAAACCAAAAGCATCCACCAAATAGGCCTAGGGTCTGATTTTACAGGAAGAGTTTTACACAGCAGTTGCAACACAAATTTTATAGATCAACTTTAAGTGCCCAAGAATCGAGGTGTCACTAATCTAGAAAGTTACAACATGCAAGCAAACACGATTAAAATTGTATGACAACTGGACCTGAACCAACTTAAAAATTATCTTTTACTAGATTAGATTAGTCTAAAGTGTAATCATGATGCTTCTTTGCGATTCTTCG